GTATAGAACTGAATTTATTCATAGTGTTGTCCCTGCAGATTTTTGGTGGTCCTCATCGAAGCCCTTTCAAACTGGTCACCATTTCTTCCTTTTGATGGTGAGCTAATCACTTGTCCAAGGCCACACAATGAGCCTATTACACTGAAATTTCTATCCACTGGAACAAATGTTTATAAATGACTTACTCAAACTATGGGATTTCTATTGCTCCCATTGGGAGAATATTCCACAGTAAAATGGATCTCATTCTTGCGGGGAGGGGGATTGTATATGTTTCATGGCAGTCAGCCTAAATTCTTTGTTCTGTTCCATCTCTATCTGTTCTAATTACATCCTTTGGACCACCAAAAACTATTCTTCTTCTCCCCCCTCCTTTTTTTTGTTTCTTAAACACTTCAAATACTCCTCAACAATTTGTCATTATTTAGCCATGCTATGCACATTTCCTTCCTTTCATCTTTCTTCATAAGTCAGGAAGGCCTATAGAGCCACCATAGAGATGTAAAGTTTGATGAATAAATCCCTTAGTGAGTGCGACTGATACAGCAAGATTGTGGTGGCTCAGAAGAAGCTGCCAAAATGAGAGAATAAAAGAAAGAAATATTAAAGAGTATTTGCTTACATTTTGCTCTTCCCTTTACCATCCAGTTATACTTCCCAGTTGTAGATGTTTATGTTTTGGAAATGTTGAATGGGACTGCCTGTGGATGGCTCACAGTTTGAAAAGAGAAGCTCCTTTTTAGTTTGATAAGCACTTTAAAGTTTGGACATTTCTGCAGCATGTGTTGCATATGCTGTGAGCCAACTATTAAAGTGCACAAAGAGTAAAATGGTTAAAATGCAGTCAACACAAAACCATTCTTAAAAGGGAGTTTATTTCATGCAGAATATTATCCATGGCTGAAATCTTGCATTGTCAGAAGAAAATATAATGCTGGAGCTTCTCTCAATTTAATCATTAACCCATCTTAGAAGCCAGGCAGCCACACCAACCAAAGGAGTGCCAAGGCTGGAGAGCAGGGCACTGTACAATGATAATATGTCCAGCCTCCCCCGTCTGCAAGTGCAGTGCAAAAAACGGCAACAGGGACTCTGCAGTCATAGCAATGGTGCCATAACTATAAATGTGAATTGCAGTATTAACAATACTGTAAGTCTGGCTTATTGAGAGTTGGACTAGGATTCTCGATGGCCAGCATTCAAATTACTCCTGGAAACTCACTGGGTGACCTTGGGCAAGTCATACTCTTCCTGCCTCAGATAAAGGCAGTGACAAATTCCCCCTGAACAAATCTTGTCAAGAAAGCCTCCATAATAGATTTGCCTTGCTGTTGTTGTTGTTGTTGTTGTTGTTGTTGTTGTTGTTTGCCTTCAAGTCATTTCTAGCTTATGGCAACCCTAAGGTGAATCTATCATGGGGGTTTCTTGGCATGATTTGTTCAGAAGGGGTTTGCCATTGTTATCCTCTGAGACTACAACGTGACTTGCCCAAGATAGCTTTACATGGCCAAAGGGGGACTCAAACCCTGGTCCCTAGAGTCATAGTCCAACACTCAAACCACTGTGCCACACAACACCATAAGTCAGAAAAAACTTGAAGGCACACAATAACAACAACAACACAGTCTGGCTTTCAACATTGATGATGCTGAATAGTGTCAGCCTGTTTTTAAAAAGGTAATATTTTGTTGGGCATTTTAAAAATTATCCCATGATCTGCACTTTATTTTTTTCATCTTTAACTAGGAGAACCTCTATAGCTGATTCTGGAATTTAGCATGCATACTTTGCCAGAGTTGTCCCTTCCATGTTACCAGTTACTGTTTA